AGCACAAGCAGCACAAGCAGCAAGCAGCACAAGCAGCACAAGCAGCAAGCAGCAACACCAAGCAGCAGCAGCACAAGCAGCAAGCAGCAACACCAGCAGCAAGCAGCAACACCAAGCAGCAGCAGCAGCAGCAGCAGCAGCAGCAACACCAAGCAGCACAAGCAGCAAGCAGCCAGCAGCAAGCAGCAAGCAGCCAGCAGCCAGCAGCAGCAGCAGCACGTGTTGCTGTTCATGCACCGTGCTTGTGATCCCGCTGTATGCCAGTGGATACCTTACTCAGCGACTACCTGGAAACATCGTAGCTGACACCGAAACCGGGACTCCCCATGTGGTTTGCGACACTGTGTCTATACCTAACCAACCTTTCGTCCACCCCCCCTGTAGTGCTTGGCAGCTGTTTTTGCATGTTTGTCTTCTCTGACCTTCTTGATAGCAGAAACAACCAAGCTCATTGCAATTGCAATCCACCAGCTTCACTAGCTGAGGACGGATGGCAGCTCGGCATGTGTTTGGTGCTACTAAGTAGTCAAGCAGATTGTAGGCGAGAGTCTAGATTTGTTTGAATAGTGTTCTTATGTTTGTATATTATGTTTGAATCCTTTATATTCAAGCTTTTTTGCTGACTGCTGGCAAGCTACAAGCACATTTTGATAGCTCAATTACATTGATTCACTCATGGGAGACACAGTGGTGTCAGGAACAGTGACCAGGGAATGTCAGAATCGTGTTGAGCAATTGGCGTCGCTTTGAAAGATTTCACTGAGAACTCGCACAATGGTTAAGCGAAGTCCACCAAAAGTGGGATCCGCACGTCAATGGAACTGGCAGATTGCTCACACGCCCCTTTTTGATGGTGGCAGGTGTGATTCATGATGTTCCATTGAAGTCCATCAAAGACCTGTGCCACATCCTCAGCTTCGTATCTTGCATAAAACTGAGTTCAGAGCCATCGCAGAACACAAACAAGGACATAAAAAGGTATAATTAATAATATTTAGGTATACTATATATTATATAGTAGTTTTTCAAAGTGTAAGGAGGTCCATTCATCAGTTTGCACCAGTTGTTTTGTGGCAAGTCTCATGTTGGATGCAAACTCACCAGGGCCAATGCAGGAGGCAAACAGCAAGACAAACGGAGAGATGGACTTGGTGTTCTAGTAACAAGAAGCTATTAAATGGGGGCTCCTGGCATCGCTACTAGGAGCAAGGACGCTTCTAAGGGCTCCTAGCCGTACTACTAGGAGCAAGTAGCTACTAGTAACAAGAAGCTTTCGCCCAGGTCCAGGCAAGACGATTCAAACGAGGCATACGCCGGTGGATTTGGCTCCCTGGCTGAGAGAGAGAACAGGCCTCGCTTGGAGTACGTCCCCGAAAATATGGAGTGGACATGAGTGGACACAAACTGATTGACTGCTTTGACCCAATTCTGGAGGTTCTTTGGGTGATTGCAATGAATGTGAGCGCTTAGGATGACATGTGTGCTACACTGGTGCTGCGGAACAACGAATGACTCGGTCTCAGAGAAGAAACGTCTAGGGCAGTATTGGTGCTTTGGATAGAGAACCTTTGACTTAAAGTGTTGAAGAGAGAGAGAGAGAGAGAGAGATAGAGAGAGAGAGAGAGAGCAAGGAAAGACAAAGAGCAAGCTGTCAACATGAGCAGGTAAATTGAATTCGCCGGCCTCGGTCCATTTCAAGACACTTAAGGAAACATAAATCAAAACACAGGCGGCTTCATTGCTTTTCAACTTGCATTGCACAATTATGCAGTCAGTGGCTTAAGAGATTTGAGGACAAACACTTTATGCAGGTAGGTGTATGCTACGGGATACTCGCTTTGAACGAGAACCCGCTAAGTGATGTCCCGTTAAAGTTCTTGCTGGCCAGCCAGGGTTTGCGCTTTCCAACAAAACAAAGCTAGATTACCTAGATCGTCAAACTTCCGTCTACTTGTCATATCTTGTCATATGGAACTTGGGTATACGCAAAAACCTGAATAGCGTAAGGTTGCGTAAGGGAGTTGTGAGACATGCATGTTGCGTAAGCTTTGCATAGGGCTCTATAGTCTATGTTTCCGCATGTGTTTGTTACCCGCACACCTGCAAAAAGACCATCGCGTAACATTTGCCCTGGGGGTATGGTGCTCATGTGTGTGTTCAACACAGATAGGGGTAAGATCTGTGTAAGGTCTTCTGGGTGGTGGTCGCGGACATACATAGTTTATCGTATTTTGCAGAGCTCAAAAATTATTGTGGAAGCACGCCCAATGGCTTCAGAAAGAGCATAGCATGTTTGTGGCTGCCAACGAATGTCAGAAAGAAGCTGCCTAAATTGCATGCACAATCAGCAAACATCATGGTGTAACCTATAACCCAAAGTATGCTGAATCCAGAAGGAACGCAGAGCTCTTCCAAGTTATTGATCACATACCAAAAAAGTATCCTGTGATTTTGTTCGATTTTGTCATCGGAGGAGTTCTCCAGGTGGAAGACAGCGGAGTGGAATCACTTCAAGAGCCAACCTGCTACACTCTTCCCGATATACGTTTGTGCATTTGGGACTAGTGACTAGTCCTTAACATGTTCAGCTTTGGTGCGGTATTTCCTGGGGAATAATTAGCAGGAGAAAACGGTTTCGATTTTCACAATGGCCCAACATGCATCGAACAACTGCTAACCTGTCCGATGCCAATGTTTCCTCGGGCTTTGGAAAAATATCAAGCTTTCTGAGATTCGGTAAAGGGATGTAAAGGGACATGTTCGCATTGTCCGCACAAACATGTCCACCAAGACACCAAAGCAAGAGCAGTCACAGGCCATGTTATATCTCCCTGTCGTCCGAATCTGCGGTGATCCATGCATGCGTGTCGTTTACAACAACTGTTGAATCGCCAACGTGTCCTGTTCAGGGATTTGATCTTCCAGGTCAACTAACCAAAAAGCCTTTAGGGGATACGGAGAGAGAGTATACAAGAGCGGTGCTTGTCGATGGTAGTTACGCATCGGTAAGTATGCGGGTATCAATCCATTTGAGCTGCCCACAGCCTTTGACGTCATCCACTTGGCATACGGCATATTGCCCTTACACCGGGCAAAAGGCTCTCAACAGCAACTGCAGACGGTCTCAGTTGGCCCTGTTGACCTACCAGAAATTGGCTGTTTCGAGAGTGGCTGAGCAGATGCCGAAACAGTGCGCAATCCTTCCCAATGAATACGTCGATGAGCTTTGTTACAACCGTGCCGAAGTTCTAAGACCCTGGAGAAATGCTTCCAAAATTTGCTTTGCGGACGATGGAATTCTTAATCTCAAACACTGGAAATTAGTTACTGAGCACCTTGATTCCACAAGGCTGCCAACAAAGCTTCTCCTCTGGGTCAAACTTCACTTTTGAGGCGACGAACTTCCTTCAGGCATCTCAAGCAAAACTTTTCAGTTCCAAAGTGAGCTGATTGTGCTGGGAGGCACTTGTTTCGGCACCCCTTTCGGTATGTGGACGGAACCCAAACTACGAAGCCTTGACATGTTTTGACTGTTCGGGCCTACCAATTGCAACCACTTCATTCCTCAGGTGTGACGTTTCGCTTGAACAGCATTCGAGAACGCGACGAGTTTATCCGGTGCGTCGGGATTCTCTGTACTTTGGGCCATGAAGCAACATGATGTGCGATGGATGAAGTTCCTGCATGTTTACTGCAGCTCATAGGATGTTTACTGCATAGTATGTGTTACTTTTTTGAGATGTTGTTTGTCAGTTCTTCCCTTTGTTTTGTCCAGGTTTCATTGCTCAGGCGAGTTCTTTGGAAACGGCTTTCCTTTGTAGGGAATCACAAGAATGAGATGTGTTTGATGTTTTCTCACCGCATGGTTTTTGTGCTAGAATCATTGTTTCAATCCAAGATCATCAAATGCTCCATTTTCCAGCAGAGTCACGTGACTTAGGTGAAAGTTCTTGCGCTGGCATTGGACTGAGATGTACAAAAAGACATCAGTAGCTCCGCCAATCGGCGTTGCTGTGACTGATTAAAAGGGTCACAGAAACCCGCTGTGCTTCAGACTTGAGATGTGCTTCAAGTTTCCACAAAAATAGGAACCAATGACATGAATAGTGTGAGCACTTCTTCAAGGAATCTCCCCCGCCCTCAGAAGCGTGAGCCACGACGTCAGGTAGTAGTCGCAGTAGTAGCTACTCAAGCTTAGTAGCTACCTCACGGTTTGATCATTCAATTTTGAATTTTTGTTTGGGACAAACATGATCAAACAACACACTGGTGCGTGGCCTCATTCAGTCCATCCTAAGACTGTTGCTGAATGCGAGATAGATCCGCCAGGATGCTGTCGGTGTCCATGAACATCCACTTTGTTGAGGTTAATGGGAGCAAAGCTGATCAACCACATTGCTTTTGCGGGACTTCTATTTCCCAGTTGTTGGCAGTGTTGTTGCTTGTTTTTGTTTTTTTTTGTGTGTGTTTTGATGTCACTGGTTTTCGCTGTCGGCTTGGCCTTAGCCAGTTGTACATGTGTTCAGGGGAACAATTCCTCGAAATGCCAAGACCACAAAGATGGGTCCCTCCCGCCAGAGCCGTGTGAAAAGACTCACCAGTGCAAAGCTGATTACCAGGTTTCAGAAGAGCTGGTGGTGCAGGGTTGTGATCATATTAGATACTGCAGAGTAAGAGATGAACATGGATGAACTCTGTCAAGGGCCAAAAGCTTGAGCACTCCAATGTGCCTTTGACGAGAAAGCAATGCACTTTTGATGTGGTTGTTAGGTTGTTGCCATACATACTTGTCATTGGCTGTCGGGTCAAGTTTGAAACTGGATTGTTCTTGTTTGATGTCTTTTCTGTAGCCATGCCCTGCTGTATTTATTGATGTATATAGATATAGACGCTATGATCAATTGTTCACACTTTCATGAATCAGATCAATGTATGATGTGTTTCTGAGAATACCGAATGCCAAGTAGAAACCCAGCTTGTGCATCAAAGAACACAGCGAGGCATATTCCATCAACAACTCCTCGAATGCCCTTCAGGAAGGCTGGGACAACGTCATAATAGAATAGAGTTGTGCCAAAGACATCAATGCACACTATTTGCACGCATTTTTGTGTCCACCTTTGCAGAAAAGCAGCAGGAGTCTGAAGATGTCTGAAGGACCTCAACAATTACCGTAAGCGATTCTGGCCATGCACAAAGCAAGTTCAATCAAAACAATAATCTCATGGAAGCGAAACAAATGCAGCGGACACTCATGGTGGTCATTTTCAAGGCATTGACAAATGCATAGAGAAAGGGTCCCAAGTTAGAAAACAATCCAACACAGAGGAGAGAAAAGAACACGAATAAATCCAGAACCATGTCATCCTGGTGCCTGCGGTGCCCGGTTCTTTACTTTGAAACTTTGGTACTCAATGTTAGCATCAAATGACCGCCTTGACCACAGAAATCTTTGCTTCTTCAGGTCCATTCTCATAAGCCCACTTAGCTGCCGAAGCTGGAAGGTGCCGAATCATACGTTGAAACGAAGGTGCCGACGTGACAAAGATGTGTGTGTGTGTGGTGACTGGCGAGTTCGGCACGAGGAATTGTGTGTGTGTTTTTCAGTATATATATTCTAGGTCTTTTGCAATACTATGAGGAGCTTGACACGGAATCATGGAACTACTAACTACCCTTTGCTGTGACCAAATCTGTTTCAGACATGTTCAGACCAAATAAATCCGTCATTCGAGGTTCTGGACACTGCTTTGACCTTCATTTACTCCTCGCGAATCTCTTGTGATTTCAGTGAGGACCCATTCTGCTTTGGTTCAGGGATGACAGCTAAATGGCGGCCTTGAAGGGTGTTCATTAAACACAGAAGGTTAAGCCGGCCTTGATTTTTCATGTTTTCAGCATCTCGTCAGCAAAGAACTTGTGCCGCTTTGACCTGCTCTAGAGCTAGCTTGGCAAGACGTAACCTGAGCAACACCAGCAGGAGCAGCACGCCCTTTGAACTGCATGATCCCAGCTCTTTTCCAATGTGGGCGGACGCGTCCAAGTTCATCGACTGGCCAAAGCTTAAAGCCACCAATACCAGCTACAGGCTTGTTTGCTGTCATGTCAGGCATAGGTCCTAACAAGCTGGAACCATGTGGGAGGACAATGCTGCATTATGGCGGTTCATTTGCTTTATCCTAGCCCCTTGCAGAAGACACACAAATAGCAAATACAGTATGATCACTGGGTGGCTCCTTCCGTGGCCGGAAACAAGACCCATTGGGGTCGTTCAGGCGACACATGTTTGCATAGAGGTTCCACAGATCGTGTCCCATGATTTCCCAATATTTCCCATATTCGTGCTACTAGGTTGTAAGTTCTAGACCATTGTCCAGACAGAGTACCACAATGTTTAAATGTAGCAAGTAGCAAACTCCTTCCAAAACGCTGAAACCCAGGGCAGAAGAAAAGCTACTTCCTGCAGTGTCGTCCTACCAGTCACTCTTCCGGACTCGAGAAGCCCTGCCAGTGTCCAACCTCCAAGTCTCCTAAGTCTACACAAAAAGGAGAACATCGCCCAGCCCAGCCAGCAGTTTTGGAAAATGAAGCGCCCATCACATCCCCTCACTGCGTCAGGATGGCTTCTTGCTTTGGCAGTTGCTGTGCCTTTGCAGCAGCTACCAACTCCCAGAGCCGCTCTGGAGGCGACGCCGTCGCATTGCGACGCGGCTCGCGCTTCACCGTCGGCGACGTTTTTTCCACGTTTCACAACTTCGCTTGGGCGTTTCATTCATCAAGGCCTGGTCAGATGTATTTACTTTGACCATCCCTCATCAGAAGAGTTCCAAAGAAGTCACGTGAAGAACACATGGATGGCAGCAGTTCCCATTCTGCAGGTACGCCAGATCAGCACTTCTTCGGGTGCTCGTGGATTCAACGTATGGCGCCTGGTTGGGTTGAATTTACCAAACTAGCGCTCGAAAGATTGTGGAGACTGGCATAGGCACAGGCGGTCTCACCTACATGGAGCATCGGGAAGTGAAATTTGACATGATACTCTACGCGCTTCATGGACATGTTTACGGCATCCAAGACAAACATGGACAAATTTGCAGACATACTTGTGCCCCCTCAGGTTTGCTGTGGTGACCCCATTGCTTTTGGAGGCGCGACTGGGGCACATCGCACAAAAACTTTTCAATCTACTATTAGTCGAAGCTTTACATCTAGTCGTGAGGGTGGCTGCTTTCATCCCGCTGATGAAGATGTCAATGCTTTTCCAAGTTGAGTGTTTCACCTACCATCGCTCAGATCCACTATCCATATCATTTGTATCCATATTTGTCCATTATGACCCGATTTGACAACATATCTTCTTTTGTTGAGAGCTAGCTCTGCAAATTACGAGACATCATGGGTGACACAAGGAAGGTGCACACGGACAAAAGATATCGCTGAAAACTTGAGAACTCCTTGCTTCCTCCCAGGCCCGAGATGAGGTTGGTTTGTCAGATCTTGAGGTGTGGTCGTCTCACGAAGTTGAGAGATCATCTCATGAATGGATAGCCAAGCTTGAAGGACACCGAAAATGCAATCGATTTTTGGATGGTCAACGCCAATGATGTTCATGATTGGTTGACGGCAGGTTCATGTTCTGGACTTGCTATGAACTCGTAGGCCTGCTTCGCGGCGCACACGTTTCTGCAAAGTCCAGAGGCCATCTTGGCAGTTCGGGAACAAACTGTGGCAGAGCGGCTATAGATGGTCTTTGAAGCCAGCAGGTTGGAGGCCATCGCTACTAATTAGGGTGGAGGCCATCACTACTAGTAGCAAGAAGCTACTAGTAGACATTTATAGTAGACATGTATAGACAGTCTTGAATCTGGTTTGGGTCAAACGTGAGCTCTGCCAGGTGGCACTGCGCAGTTGCGAGCAGCCTCAGGCATATGGTCGCTCGTGGTGGGTCAAACGGTCGGTTGTGTCCAGTCCGTTTGTGAGACGAGGCAAGCACGACAAAGTACAGGCAGTTGCTGCTGGTTGTGAAGGATTTCTCGAAGCTCACTTCGCCGGCCCCGCGGGTTACGAGTTCAAAATAGTTTCAGCCCAATGGGCACTAAAGTAAAGCAGGAATTTGGCCATGGAAGATGATGACCTCTCATCATCGCAGTATTCAGGCCACGTTACAACTTGACTTTGGCTTGGCTTATTTGTCTTGACATGACAGTCTGTCAATTGAAGACATGCCGAGGTCAATTTGTTGTTGCAAATATTGTAAATTGTATTGGATGCTTGACTTTCATGTTGGTTTAGCAGCAGAACACACTCATTCGGGTCGTATGCATGTGTGAAGAGTTCTCAAAGCGTCAAAGAATGATTTGAACCCTTTGATGTCAGTACCTTTGTACCAGGAAGGCTGACAAATCCTGCCAGGGGCAACTATTGTCAGTAAATGCGGAACGGAGGTTTTGACCAGCTTTGTGTCCCTGCGCAAGGGTGTTCGTTTGAAAGTGGTCGTCAATCCCTTTGCTCATGTTCTAGGGGTTAGGGCAAAACCGTGTTGCGAGAACATGGACACTTGCATCTCCCACCAGTCAACCAAGTTGATGACCTACTCCATAAGGCCTTTTATATTCAGACTTCACTAGCACCACCCGTGTCATTCTCTTGAAGCGAAATTGCCGACAGGCTTAGATCCAAGCACTGCCAAGGAAGCAACTGACCTGCAGTACTGTTATGCAAGTTGTGTGGTCTACGAGAGAGGATTGTTTTCTTCGACCAAGATCTTTTCAGCAGTTTTCAAGCGGCCATAGTGCCACAGTGTGCTCTCAATGACTCGCAATCGACAAATTGAAGGTGAAGTGAGGGCTTGACGACACTGTGGTTCCTGTTCCTTGTAGAACCGGGTCAGCCAACCAATTAGTTTTACAGTTTCAGACACCGGATAAATCCTTTCCTACATCGTCATCAGCGAAGCCAGGAACAGTTCGAAGTGAATTGTCCTTCCGGTGCTTTCCATGCTTTTTCGTCAGCCACTTAGGCAGATGCAGATCATTGGGAGATCAATGTCACCACCTTGGAAGAACTCGTCGTCTCCCCAGAAACAGTGAATCTCTGCCTGCGCTTAGAAGCAAGGCGCTGCAGGCTGTGCAGGGAGGATGGTCATCCGCCGGCGCTTGGTGTGTACAGAAGAAGCAGAAAAAATCACCATTTTATGGAAGATCCCTGCAGGATCGCCGGCCAGGGTGGGGGGCGATTCCATAGGTAAATATCCAAACCAAGTAATGTTCGGATGTGTTCAGGTAGCAAACGCACTAGACCGTCCAAAAAGTTAGGGGAGACGCATCAAAATAAAAATAAAAATGCATCAAGAAAGGAAGAGGAAGCAAGCAAGCAAGCAAGCAAGCAAGCAAGGGCATGGAAGGATGGAAGGAAGGAAGGAAGGAAGGCTGTGAAATTGAAATGCGATGTTGCAAAGCTTTGCCCAGATGCCCAGCACAGAGACCATTCCAGTTATCAAAGGAAGATTCATTGGGGAAACTCCATGATATTTGTGTTTTGGTCGTGCCAAGTTACATTGCGGGGGAGGCGCTGCGCCCTCCCCCGCGCCCCTCCCGCTTTTAATTGTTGAGCGTGTTCATTTCATTCATTTCATTTGTTCATTGACTCATTCATCCTTTCTTCCTTCTTTCTTTCATTTTCATGTTCATTTCATGTGATTTTACAGTTTGTGTTTTTTTTGTTACTTTGATCACTGCTTCGAATGGATTATTGTTCTTCCCTCTGCACGTTTGGGTCCGTTTATTTTTGTGTTTTCTTGATCACACTGAAATATGTTTATTTTTTGATGCATTTATGTTTTTTGTTGATCCCCCGCCCGTTAATGGAATATTGCTCTTCCCTCTGCACGTTTGGGTCCGTTTACGGTTTTAATGTTTTTTTTGATTCATTTTGGTGTTTTTATTGATCCCCTGAAATATATTTATTTTTAGATTCATTTTTGTTTTTTTTTGATCCCTCGCCCGTTAGTCCCTGCATTTGAACCGACACTGATGAAAGAAGGTCGCTGGACTTTTTAGGGAAGTTTCTGGAGGCCATCGCTAGTAGGTTGGAGGCCATCGCTCATAGGTTGGAGACCATTGCTTCTAGGTTGGAGGCCATTGCTAATTATTAGGTCGCTTGACTTTCTAGGATTCTAGGGAAGTTTCTGTTTGCCTGGAATATCCAGGCGTCTCACCTGGAGTTGAGGTGCTTTTGCTGTTTAGTACAAGTGGGTGAGAGGACTTAGGGGTTCACCATGGTTCACCTGTGAAGAGATTGAACTTCGAAGCCAAACCGAGACGCAAATGGATCATGGATCCAACTTGATCCTCTTTTAGCGGCCCATCTGTGCACTGTTCATGTCCATTTGGGTTCCATAATCTGAAAGCAAGATCCGGGAAGCCAGCACACCACAAGGGATATCTTTTTTTCAAGTCCCTTCATCCTCTTTATATAATACTGTATAAGTTCGAGTTTCACGGTGGCAGACTTTTTTTGGCACGTTTCTTGTAAGCACTTCAGCTAGGCACACATCGGAGTTGCCCTAAGCACCAAGGGATTCCAAGCAATCCAACAACAATAAGCTGGGTAAGAGTATAGCTAGTGATGCTAATGGGCAGTGACTTATGCAGACAGATATATAAGTTACTTATGTATATTATGAAGTACCTTCAAAATGATTCAAAATGTGTGACGATTACGATTGCCCAATGCTCCAATCCCTGGCAAAGGATACGGGACTCACAAATTTGACAATGTAATAGCTGCACATCCAAACTTCTGACCGTACCTAATCTAAACATTGCAGTATATATATAGTTATATAGCATGTTCTTCTTTTTTGGCGATTCCATCGCCCAGACTCCATGTTCTTTAGGCCCACGAAGCGTTTAGCCGCAGTTGCACTGAGGAGAGATATCAACAATACTTGGAAGGTCTATGTTGATGCCTTTGAAAACGAACAGTCTGCAGGCCAGATGTTTTTTGTCAGGTACATGACAGAAGATTGCCAAAGCAATGCCAAAACTTATGTTTTGTTTAACAAAAGATGGTATGTGTGTGGTTCTTGGTGAACATGTGTATTAATTAGTATTGCGATTTAAAGACGACGCTGCCGTCAAGTCCAGATGAAGCGTGTCTCATCGGGTAAGCCAACCGTCCCTTTGAATCACCTCCTCAAGATACACAATCAGCAAACCATTCCAAACGCAAGTCTATGACCTATTGTGCGGTATGTCCATATTATGTGCTCCCTAGTGGCGTCCTTGCTCCTACTAGCGATGCCAGATGCCCCTAGTAGCTTCTTGTTCCTAGTAGCTTTTTTGAAAACGTGCTTGATCGATCTTGATCGACTCTTCAAATTTAGGCAGAACCTCCGATCGCTTTGCACCATACACAGCTCATTTTGTCACTGTCATTTGCTTGGCCTGAAATGTCATTTGCTTCTGCTCTAGGCGAGGCCATCTTCCACGCCATCTTCGAAGCTGCGCCCTCCTTGCAGGGGCTCTTCACTGGTCCCAAGGGTGTGCACGCGATGAAGCCCTTTAGCTGAGCAAGGTAAAAGGGAAATTGTGTTTTTTTTCTAGGGAGTTTGGACAGTGAAACTTATGTTTCGAAACGATTGATTCAATGTACCGTCACAATTTGCGAGCCGCTAGCGTGACAGCTACCGTCTCACATGTCCAGGAAGAGTCCCTGCTAATGTTCGCCTTAGAGACGGGAACGCTCACGTTCCAAGGTTTGTGGTTGGCATCACAGCGGTGATCGCAAACCTCGGCCAGCCGGGCAACCTCAAGGTAGAGGCTGGGGATGGCCCACAGGATGGGCCTTGACATGTCTCAGTGGGGCGCTGAAGATTGCTAGGGCTCATGGAGGCTGTACATGGCTGCACAGTCATCAGTAGAGGCACCGATCAAGGACAAGTATTTGGAGAGAAGGGGCCGGGTTATCCATGATTTTCCCGCAACATGGAGCTTCGGTCACTGGCTTTAAGGTGTAGGAGGATGGCCTGGAATTGGTAAAGATCTTTTTTGTGGTTTGTGTCCTGTTTCACCATCAAGGACAACACCCAAAAAGACACGGACCGGACCACCAAAATATGTTCAATTTGTGTGTGTGTGTGTTTTGAGTGTTTGTTGTTTTTAAGGAGCAACTTGACTTGGTCAGCACCCATTGCCTCGCACCCATGAAAGTCCCGACCAGTGCTCCGTTCAGGTAGAGACTTTGGCATTCGCACATCTGAACATAGCCACTGAGCAATGCTTTTTAGTCTTTTTTGGCCGCGGGGGGGTCGGCCGCTAAGAGGTAGTAGCTAGTAGAAGCTAGATAGCTAGTAGCTGCCTTAAGTAGCTACTACTAAGGGCGGCTAGTAGCCGCCCGGGAGCTTCCTTGAACAAGCGCTCGCACTATGCATTTGGTTCCCGGATTTTTAGGGAAACTGAAGTGGTGAGCATTTGAAACACGCTTAATGCTGGTCAAGCATGGTCAAGCGAGGTCGGATACTACAGACCCCACCGGAGAAAATAGTTGGAAAGATAATGAATATCCTGTATTATCAAATACTGTGGTATTGAAATGTAGATGCTGAAATACAACATGCAGTCACTCACATGCAATAACATGCAGCTGATGCAGTTGTTTTCCTGTTTCATGCTTTGATATTGACGTCGAGGATGTGACTATCCCTCGAGTTGCATTATTCCGAGATGCGGTGCTCGACCTTTTTGAATCTGAATTGGGAGAGGCATTCACATCTTGGGCAAGAGAAGGATGGGGGCAACTCTTGTCTTACATTGGAGGTGCACTGATTTGGGTGCGTGCCACTTGGTGCAAATATCAATGATGTTCGCAGAATGTTCAGGATCAAAGTAAGATCATTCAAAGATCACTTAACCCCAGACTTGT